TGTATTTTGAGGTGAATGCGAGAACAACAACAACAACTCGCGGGATCCCTATATATCGTGGTATTCAGCTTTTCAAACCATGGTATTCCACGCTAAATACCCACTCTCGGTAGCCAATCAGCGCGCGAGATTGAATAGTGTCATGGGATTCTATGTAAAATCAAATGTAAAAACGAAATTCTTGCGATATTTGTTATTATATTAAATTGAACTTGTATGCTGATGATATTGTATGATATTTTGCCAAATTAAGATTTAAAAATGCAAAGAGTTATGCAAATTTTGTCAATCGCTTTGATTTGGCCGACCGTCTAGCTGGGTCCTTCAAAATTTCTGTAACTTTAGAATTTTATTTCTCGACGCAGAACAAAAATTCCCAAAAATGCCTTCACTCACGATTAGAACATTATTTTAGCTTTTCAATTTCTTAATATCAACTTTTGATTTTGTTTAGCACACAGAAAAATTATTTTTTGGAAATTCCTCATTTTTGACGTGGAGTCAAAGTACCATGGTGAATAATTATTTTTCGCCGCTATGAATTTATTCCAAGACCGTGAAATTCCATTTTTCAATGTTAAAACACTATCCCAAATAATATCCCAAGATTGAAAGGCATGCGAGGCCCCCAAATTTGGAGTATATTTTGACTCTCTCAGAGGGTCAATTATGAACGAATTCGTTTTTCTCGTTTTTCTCGAAAATAAAGCGATATTTCGGCAAATGAGGTATACCACGGGTTATATTTCCTCAAGGTCTTCCTAATACCAAAATATGAGCGAATTCGATTTTTCGGCTGTTGCGGGCAAAATTTGATTTAGGTCGATTTTTGCTGGCGTTCTCTCATAGGTTCAAGTGAGTAAATAAGGGACGCTATCTTGAACTCCATGTCTTCGATGGGAGACAGCGGTCAAAAAATAGGTATATGCTGAAGAAGTATTTATGCTGTAAAAAGTCATAAGCTGTTATTTTAATAAAAAACATTGAATATTATTACATTTGGATGTTTTTTTTTAGAGTCAAATCATTGTAATTGCGAAGCGCCTTTGTGCACTTCTTATGGCGACATGTTTGATACGATTCGCAAAAGGAATGTCACATATCATAGCGGAGCACCATACCTAAGAAAAAATGGTAAACCATCGAGTTGATTTTTCATGGCTTGGCTGACGTCACTTCCGTCCGTACGTACGGGCGTCCGTGTACACAAGAATCCCGATTGGCTGGTTAGATTATCTTTTTATTTTGGCGGGAATGTCGACGCGGTGCAACATCCGGGTACAAACAAAGGTACACACGTACAAATATGTAAAAAAAAATTTACACTTGTTATTACGTATAGAAATACCGAAAGATAACAACACAATTTTTTATTCAAGCTTATATTTATATTCATTTTTACTCTATTTACGATGGAACCCCTTTCCGAAATCGATATGTCGAAAGAAAGCTTAGAGGAGAATGAAGCCAAAAGAAAGGCCAGAAGTAAAAGAGTTTATTCGGAATAGGAAAAGATCTGGAGGCGTGAAAAAGAAAGGCAAAGACGAAGGAATCTCACCGAAGA